CAATCTTGTGACGTGAGGATTAACAGGAATATTTGCGACATCCAGCAATGGCAGAAAAAAGCGATAAGGTGTGTTGCATTGAACACTCACAATTCCTTCATACTTGAACTATTTAAACTGTCTGAAATACTTATAAAATATATTAGTCTCAGGAAATAAAATCTCTGGAAATTAATTACCTTGCCACATTCCAAACTACAGTACTTAGAATAAAGTAGAATGAATACATTTTTTCGCTTCCGTACTTTGTAAGGCTGTGTTTAAATTGTGTATTTGGTTTTTCTCTAAGATTATAGTTTTATGTTTATTTCATCACAAATCTCTTCCGATTTATATGATAATAAAATATTTGCCCTAATCTGAGAAACGGATTATATACACGACATTATACCTAGAACGTAGAATCATTGAGCATGCCCAGTACTACAATATAGACGTAGGTTGAAGACTGCTGACCTTAGGGAGTTAAAAAAACGCCTGATAAATATCATCTTGACTTGGAAAATTAAAGAAAGTAAAGTACCCATGAACCAGTATATATAGTCAAAAAATTTGAAAAAAAGCGATGTTACACGTTCCAAGCTAACTTTTAAAACGCATAATGTCTTAGTCATTTGCTTCCATTACGTTCAAGCACGTACACCATGGAAAATAACTTTTATTTCACGGGATTTGCATCAGAGATGTTCGTTAGATAACGCCATTTCAAAACGGAAAAGATTGTGTCATAATTCCAATAAAGCAAAGTTCATGACGTCAATATGGGTGGCAAAGTAGCTCGGATGATCCTATATATAGAAATGACATTCCATCTTATGTATGAATATTTAAAAGTAGCCTTGTAATTTCTGAAAACTGACAACGATAGTTAAACGTCTGCTTTAGCGGAAACATAAATCCTTCAAATATTAAACTATCTAGAAATATGCTCTTCTATATTTCAACGTATGACATAACTTTCGATAAATATTTTCGATTCAATAGATAAAAGCCAAAATATATTAGAGATCTCAAAAGACCTCTTTGTAAAAGTAATTTTGACACTTATATTGCAGACGCCTACATGCATTAGTATATGTACTGTAGAACTGCACTTTACAGAATGAATTCCAATAATTGTCTTTATTAGCGTTTCCTGTAGAATGTGCATTGTTTCTCTATTATTCACAAGATGATTTACCAGTTTTACCATCATATAGTTTCGATTTCCGATTCAGAGAAATCATTATTTCCGGTAAAGATATTACATCACAAAGCTTTAAGGATAAACAAAATTAATTAAAAAACAATAACACAACTTCAATATTTTGCTACAATTGCACTCAAGTCATAACTCGTGAGGAATTGTAAATATTTTCCAATTGTCCTTTAAAATAAGAGAATTATATGTCTCTGTTGAGAATAAACAAATATTAAATAAAACATTAAAAAAAGGAATTGTACTAACGTATCAACATTTCTCAAATTCTTATTCCAAAACAACCATGCACATTAAGGCTGCAAACAGGTGGCATTTCTGCAGAGAATGCACATGTTGACAGGTAAATCATATTTGATTAGAAATTTCTGATGGATTAATATTTTCCTTCATCCTAAATGCCCACAAGCAATCAGTCTGAAAGAGTTCATGAAAGTATCACATTTACAGTATAATACTCCCATGGTGAGATAGATAGATTGACTGGTGGTTTCTTAACGTATATGCACACATTTGGACCACTTGTTGTCGTTAATGTTTGTTTTTGCTTGAATGTCTTTTTCCAGAGGAGTCGGATGTAGTCTAATGTACTGTCCGGATGTTTCTGGCGAATAGTAGTAATGTGTTCATATCTTCAGTAATATAGTCAGTCAGAAGGTTAGAATGTGACATGGAGATAAAAATGGCTTACTATCTGTGATTGGTTGCTACATCATTTGCATATTTTCCTCCTGGAAAGCATTATGAATAGAATTTCATGTAGGCACCAATTTGTTCTCAAAAGTTCATTATTAAGGACCTAATAAATTTTTTATTTTGATCAAATTTTTTGGAAATTTTCGGCAAAATCGCTAGGTATGGCAAAAAAGAACAGAAAAGAAGAAAGGCCATGGAACCCTATATAATTATAAAAGGTAAAACCATAAATAAATATCGCGCTCCTATTTCACAACAGCAGTGTTTTCCATAAATAGTTTATTAAAGAAACGCATTTTAAGAAAACAATTGTTAAAAATCGCATTGTCGGCAATGGGTCAATCATTTTGTACTTCGTTTGCATTCAGAGAGAACCTCGTATAATATGTACTGAAGTAATAGTGTCAGATTATGCACACGCCATGAATCATATATAATTTTTATTGTACTTTTACAGGTTACTTATACCTGAAAATTTCATTTAATTGTCTGTTGTATTAATTACTTGCATATGTAAAACAAATTCTTGTAGTTCTACCAGGAAGTATAAATAAAATATTCTTTGGTCATAGAATCAGTTCTTAATCACGAAGTGAAAAGAATACAACTAATTAAAGGAAAACAAAATGTTGAAGGTTAGTATTATCAATGATGTAGATTCAATGTTATCATATCAGTATAATTACTGTATATATTTAGGCGTTTTTCTCTGCACTTTTGGTTTGATATGTTATTATGATTACATTATCGTTTGAATGTTTGCGGTTTGATATTATTTTATATCGTCTTATAGCAAGTTTTTCCCTCTCACTATGCATTGCAAAATTGCCACTGATCGTTAAGCCAAGGAATTATTGTATTGTCAATATGATATTTCCATGGTTAAACAAACAGCAATCAATCAGTTGATTAATCTAAGTGTAATGATGATGGTGAACAAGGACAAGCATTTCTCAAGTATCAACTTCTTCAAATGTGACGTTTGATTTTTAATAACGCAAAAGTGCTAATATCATGAGAATTATTCATATAAATTGTATGTAAAAATCTGTACAATTGTATTTAATTTTCCAGTTAAATGTAATCAGTCAAAATAAACCACAGAACAGATGAATGAATAACAATAATCCATCAGTCATTTCCAGATATTGCTCATATCTCATTGGGTGATAGATTGATCACACACTGACACAACTTATTATAGTACATGATTTATGTTATTACTTTTGTGGTAATCTCGGGTCAAAGAAATAAGCTATTATTTCTCAGAATAACTGTTACTATGGAACTTTGTAATAATTAAAGCTCTGAAGGATTTTTTTTTAATCAAACAATGTATTCTTCTGTTACCTGTTCTAACATCGGACTCGGACTTCTTTCAAAATGAGTTTTATTGTGCGTATTGCAGTGTGTTTGTTTATTCTACATTGGCTAGAGGTATAGAGGGAGGGTTGAGATCTCACGAAACATGTTTAACCCCACCGCATTTTTGCGCCTGTCCCAAGCCAGGAACCTCTGGCCTTTGTTAGTCTTGTATGTTTTTTTAATTTTGGTTCATTTATATGTTTCGGAGTGCATTTTCTCTGAACCAGTATACATTTTTGTTTAGGGGCCAGCTAAAGCCTTCCTCCGGGTGCGGGATTTCTCGCTGTGTTGAAGACCCATTGGTGGCCTTGAGCTGTTTTCTGCTCTTTGATCGAGTTGTTGTCTCTTTGACATATTCTACGTTTATAATCTCAATTTTATTAGAAATAGTGTCAACAGTTGCAAAGATTATCACGCTTTAGTACGGAGGAGACGGTAGGCCAACACTTCGGAGTTGTCCGTGAATGACTTGTTGAGAGAAGTTTCTGAAACCAAAAAGCTGTAAATTAACTTATTTTTGCGGCTTTTACGATTAGAAAATAATAACACGATTATCAAAAGTCGCGAATATGTCAAGCGTCCATCTTCTTTAAAATGAATACCAAAACAAATTAAAAATAAAATAGCGAATAATTCGCCGTAAAGGACACAATTTTTTTTTTTACCATGGGTAGTCCAAATTTATTTTTCCTGATCATTTTAATTTCAGAGCCGTTAGCCTGATTTTTTGGCTGATAAATGAAATATTTGCCACTTGATGTTATTTCCTAAAACTAATCATTCAATAAACATATTTTTCGATTGTATGTTTTGATTAACTCAAGTTCAAGCATGCATACATTGACATAATTAATAAGTGTTTTGAATTGTATTGTGAAAACAATTGAACCTATGCAGTTCATGAAAAATATTGACTTATAAATAAATCTTTAAAAAAATGTAACCACAGTTCCCCTTTAGAAGGATCGCCCCTTTCCAAAGCTACTTAGCGATGGTCGGGAAATTCCAATTAAGTGAACGCTACTGAAGGTTTAAAAAATTAAAACAACACGTTATAAATTTCATGCGTCTGAAGCGCTTTTCTGGATTTACCTTCATCAGGAACGCTCAAAGCCGAATATTTCAAAGCCAAGGATGTATAAGAACCGAAACAGTTGAAGAGCTATAATACCAAAAAGGACTGCCCAAAAAAATAACCAGATTCATCTAAGGTCAACTTTGCCTGTTAGAATGTGTAACTGACCTTCAAAGAGCGTTAACAGAAAACTGTTTAGATGAACAACGGTAAACCAGTGTCGTATTGTTATATACAATTGTTTACCAGTTTTCATGGGATTTTCATGCATGTCTTACGGATCTCCCCCGTATAACGTCTCTCTTACTTTTGCGTAAAAAACTATGGTGACAAAATTCAATTTATAAATAGAAGTTTAAACCATAAGCACTGCAAAGTATTACATAAAAAAGCGTCAAGATTTTCAAATGTATTACTTATTCAATACAAACTTTCGTCTGATTCTAAGACAAAACATCAGTCGATACTATTTTTTCAGTGACACTTGGTTTGTTGGTTAGTATATTGCAATAACTTTTCAGAAATATCATTTGATTAAAGCGATTGGTTGACAGATTCACCATCTTAGTGGTCAAAGTTAATTGGTATCTGCTGCTTGACTTTGGAATCGTCAGAGATTTTCTTATATATAATGTATAAACATTGATTTTTCCTCTTCATTTACAGAATGTAATACTACATGGTTAATGGGATTAAATTGGGAAAAAATTCAATCAGGTAAGTTTGAAATTTATATTGTGTTAATTTGAATGGCGGTACTGCAGTCTTGAAGATTTTAATTAGATAAAAGATATTTTAAGGTTAGAATCCTTAGAATCCATCAGTTATTTATAATCACATTTGAAATTAATTAAATATTTTCGATTACTAATAAGTTTTTGTAATTAGTCATGAATTAATTATTAATTAGACTCAAATAATACAAGAAGAAAGAAAAGGGAGACAGCCGGGAAAGAAGAAAAGTAGACGGAAAACGACAAAAGATATGAATGAACTAATTTTGAGTCAGAAAACTTCTCTGACTTATTTAGAAAGACTTCTATATATATTAGATAAGATCTTTCAGATTGGGCTTTAAAATGACCGAGAACATAAAATAATTCAGTTGTAGTTTGACAGAAAAGTCAACCAATTTAGAAATTTGTAATCTTTATTTTTCGGTTTTATCCATGACTGGTATGGATTTCATATTGAAACGTTTTCTTATTGTATCACTGGTTTATTCTGTATCATTTGAGATCCATTTTTTAATTTTTTTCTTGAAACATTCTTAACGTATTAAATCTGATATTCTTTTATAACCATTGTATGTCACTGTTGCGTTGAACTCCAATATTTTTTTTTCCAATTTGGTAAAAATTGTTGCGATCTAAGAAGATTTAATGAAGTGCAGTTTAATACGTTTAGTTTTGAAAAAAAAACGACAATTGTTTGATGAACACAGTTTTCACCTTTGATACTTAACAGATTCGCGGTCTTTATATCAAAAGAAATTTATAAACTAAACTAATGAAATGATTTTTATAATATGGTCACATATGATAGGGTGTCTTACCTAAATGTGGTTATTAAAAAAGGTACTGTATATATAATGAATTTTCTTGGGAAGCGTTATTGTGGTCACAATAGACGGGAAGTCCAGGTGGCCATTAAGCCAGCAGATATTGGGTATAACCAAAAGTAGAAGTATTGTTGGTTCTGCTTATTGATTAGTTGCATTAAAAGGCTTATAATTCCTAAGCGTATTTAAAGTTTGAACCGTAAGATCTTAAAAACTTGATAAATATTCACGGGGCTATTACTTTTGAAATAAGCATGAATATAATTTTCTACAAAAACGACAAAAAATTTCAAATATCTCTGTGAGGTGGAACTGTCAAGCGCCATGCAGTTACCGACTACAAAATTAGTTACTTGAAAGGTGTTGTTCATATAGACAAACATCGCGGTAAATTCATGATTTCGTTTGTTCTTGAACGTTCGCTTTACTCGCGGGTACAAGAAATATCTAAAAATTAACCAAAGTTTCGCTCTCTCTCTCTAAATATATATTTATACATATATTTTTACAAAAACGATTAATATGTCTTTTTCGTGACGTCAAACCCACATTTAGTGTGACGCCAGTGATCGTAAACTACCTATTTTTAATTTTGTATTACATCAACCATGAATTCAATATGTATAAGTGGAAATCTGATATTAGAATTACAAATTTGAGTGAATATTTGGCCAAATAATGTCCTCATGCATGGATGGCACCATATTTATAACATTGGGAGATTTGGTATGATTGCCAATGAGACAACTATATATCAAATACAAATGACGTAGACGTCAGCAACTATAGGTCACCATACGGCCTTCAATTGTGAGCAAAACCCAAGCTATAAAAGGCACTGACATGACAAAATGTAAAACAATTCACTGAGAAAACCAACGGCCTGATACACGACAAAAATAACAACGAAAAATAGATATGATAAACATAAACACACAACAACCACTGATTTACATCCTCCTGACTTGGGACAGGAACATACAGAATGTGGCAGAGTTCAACACGTTACATGTTTGCTGGCGTCCAACCCTCCCCTAATCTGGGATATTGGTGTAACAGCACAATGTCCTTTATCCAACTAATTAATACAAAACTATAATACATGTTGGCAACCTTAACTGTTATCCTTTTGTTCGATTTGATCATAAAAATTTAGGGGTTACCCAGGCCTTCCCCCATAAATGACGGAACTGAACAGTTTTAATTTCTATTACATTGAAAATGGTATTAAATGGACAGAAGGAGTACATGGGTTGAGCACTCACAAATACGTTTAACACTGTCACATTCTGTGTGTGCCTGCCCCAAGTTAGGATCCTGTGATTCCGTGGTTGTCATTTGTGTCTGTCATTTTTGTTTTTCGTCAATTGTTTTTTTCACGTATAAAAAGTAAAACGTTTGTTGAAAGAAATATTTTCTTTGACACTGTATCATCTTTTATTTGCCAAAGTCGTCAGTCATATTTTGAGAAATTCTGATTCAAAATTCACAAATATAGTTTCAAACGGACATCTTTGTTTGGGCGTGAAGACGTACACTAAACGTTGAATCATTTATTTCCAATTTTATATTAATCTTTTCCTCGATTGTGACATCATGGATCGAGATTTATAGCCAGATTTGTACTTGGATGAGCTACACGGCAGATGTCACTTGTAGAACAGGAACTGCTTACTCTTCTGGAGTATCGGAGTACACCTCCGGATGTAGGTGGGTTCGTGTTGCTCAATCTTTAGCCTTCTTTGCAGTGGTTTGTGGACTTTTTTTGTTGTAGTTTTTTTTTTAGCTTTTTTATCATGACGTTGTCAGTTTATCTTGGACTGAGGAGTTTTGAATGTCCTCTTTGAATCTTCCGCCATTTTTTTTTTAAAGAAGATATGAAGATAACTTTACTTTCGAAATGTCGTGTTTCGATCCGGTATCTCTAATGAACACAGCTACATATATCTCTGATGAACACAGCTACATATATCTCTGATGAACACAGCTACATATATCTCTGATGAACACAGCTACATATATCTCTGATGAACACAGCTACATATATCTCTGATGAACACAGCTACATATATCTCTGATGAACACAGCTACATATATCTCAGATGAACACAGCTACATATATCTCTGATGAACACAGCTACATATATCTCTAATGAACACAGCTACATATATCTCTAATGCAATTTATTTACAAAAATCATCAAAGATATAAATTCCATCTCATTAAGAGTCATTTTATGTATAATATTATTTTTCTAAGCATTAATAAATCCACAACAATACTGTCGTAATTCACGATTATATGTTTATATTATGAATTAATATTTCCATGAAAGTACTGTACAGACAGTAGCCCGAGTACGTAGCTTTAAACATGTCCTTTAAACATATTTCATTTGAAAGAATATCAAAAGACGTTGGACACAAATTATAACAACATTACAGACATCCTCTCCTCTCTAAAAACATATATAAACACAAAAACATTTGATGATAACGAAAGCATAATAGGAAAGCATATAACTAAAAAAACATGGAAAAAAAGAACAATATAATACTAAATAGGAGGAGATAAAACTGGAGTGAGTTAGAATGCCAGTGTTAGTTGTATATGCTATGAATCTTTGTGTTCTTCCGATAAATAATTGTAGAGAATATAAAATCTATATTAGGTAGGTAACACATTGGACGTACTTTATAGTATTCATCGATATCAAATCAAGTTGATTGGCTTAAATTATTAAAAAGACAATGGCACCTTCAAATACTTGACAAACTAAATCTTTTTAAATCAGTGGGATGGAATTCTACTGAGTTTCGTTGTTGTTCCTTCATTACAGAACTTTCATGATATCACAAAGAGTGCAAGTTTCCTCCATGATATATATGATTGAACTTTATGGCATGTATGTTAATTAATTTGACATACGCCTTCAGGTAGATCTTCTTGAATTCTATAATTATGTGCCAGCTTTGCAGTAATCCGTTAATTATTAGATTGACCTTTGATTTGATGAATTGGTTTCACCATTGAACCATTGTTTGTTTCTTGGCATGTCTTATGACAGAATTGCATGTTTCTTAATTTCGACTATATATAATGTCTAAATGGTATTTATTTCAAGGATACTTTCGTATACATGTTATATTTTAGCCTGTTCTCCTTGGGTGGTTGTCATTTCATTAACAAACACTCCGGAATGTTAATGCAAAAGTACATGAAGGTAACAGAAAGCTCAATTTCCTTTGTTTAAGTACATTACTCCGTAACTTCTACCTAATTGCGTTTTTTTCCTGATTCTAATTTTATTGTTTGAATAGATTTGATGTTTTCTTCTTCCGATCAAATTTCTTCTCCTTCTTATTGGTTGACGATAGTATACACTTTTTTTTACTTTTTTTGTTCGAGCGTTACTGATGAACATTGGTATACTACTGTTGCCTTTATGAATCTTTAAAGACGTAAAGTGCGTCTGGTGTATTAAATTATAAGCCTGGTATCTTTGATGAGTTTTTTTTTAATATCATTTATATTTAAAATCTTCTTTGCTGATATAATCTGACAGAATTGAAGAAGATACATTTCAAGCATTTCAAATATATTGCTGTATATCTGCTCCTTTTTCCAGAATGTAAGATAAACTAAATATGAGGGTCTGGACAGGGGTCTTCATTTATATGGTTCTATAATTTTAAGGCTATTTTCATCTTTTCTTTATTTTTTTCCATTTATTCTCTTTTCTTTGATTTCAGAACCCCGTTATGTTCTGTTCTATTTTGCCCATTACTCTCTTTTCTTTCTTGTCCATTATTATCTGTTCCTTTTTACCCGTTATTCTCCATTCTATAAACCCAATCCAGACCATCATATATTCTAAAAGACATGTTCCCTGTGGCTGTGCAGTTTGTCCATAGTGATTTCTGCTTTTATTAGTGCTGTGGTTTTAATTATCCCGTTGCTATCTTCTCACTTCTTGTTATAGATTGCAATGTTGAAGGATATAAAACAATGCAAACTCTTGGGTATCATACCTTTATATTCCTGTAAACCAAAAAGCTTGCATAGTGTTGAAATGATTTAAACTATCTGTTAATCATAATATGAAAACTTCCATTACGATAAGTGTAGCATATTGTGTTTTAAACAAAATTTTCG